AGTCCCTAAAGGAAACAATATACCCTTTCTTGAGGAGCACATATCCAATTGTTTGCGGCTTAGGCTCCGGTAACAGGCCCTCTGATTTACAAAAAGCATTTTTTTTTCCCTCATAGTATGTCTTAGAAGATTAGGTATTGGTCTCCAACGATATACTTGACACTATTTGTCAACAGAGTTTTGTTTTTCTTTTTGCTATTTTGAGTTTCCTTTTTGAAAGTAATACCCTCCATGATTAAGGCTTTTTACAAGGAAGATGATTTCACTTGTGACAAAAAATATTCTTTTAAGAATTCTTTACAGGCAAGTTGGACTGTATATCCATTTACGAACACAATTCGGCAGCGCGGATGATTGTGAACAGCAGGACAGAAAATTGACGACCCTGAACTGCACACAAATCTATATCTATCTTATCTTATCAGCAGAGCAGCAAACAAAACAAGAAAACAGCTAAACATGCTGGGATCTATCCTCCTCAAAATATTCTATTTATATCCATAAATATTTGTGCTTTTTTTTTGGCAAATCATGTTCCTTAATAAATTCCAACTATTCGTTGATTTTTTTCTGCATGTTTTTAGGAAAAACAAATAACAAAAGCCGGAAGCATCATCCAAACGCCCACTCGATGACATAGTTTTGTTTATTCTTTTTTCTATATTTATCAGCACTAGACAGGGGAAGAAGAACACTAATGTTTTAAGCAACAATGACAGCAAAAAAAGGGGAGCAGATATCACATGTCATATGCTAAAACGTTAAGAGAAAGGTCTATATTATTTGAAGGGTGCTTTGACACTTTTGCTTTTGGAAATAGCCACAATTTTGTGGACTGAGGAAAATACAATTTAAAACAAGCACCATTTGCTTTGAGCACATTTCTGTATTTAATAATAAAACAGAGCTGTAAAAGAAATTTCATAGGAAAAGTAAACAAGTTTGCTTAATTCTTAAAAGGCTGCGGCAGCACAGACAGAACTCAACAGAGCAGCACAGCACAGCAGTTCAAATAAAAACAAAATATATAAAAAAGTAATAATAAAAAAAATGAAGAGCAAACCAGAAAACAAAGAAAGTTGAAGGCCGACAAAGCAACGACCGTTTTAATTGCTTATATTGCTATGCAATATAGAAATTTGTTTAACAAAATAACACACACACACAGAAATGTTGATTGAAATATGTAAATTGGAATGCACGTGTATTCGAGACTCTGGTGACGACAAGAGGCAGCAGTCGTCAACTCTTAACTATAGCCTGCTGCTCTCAATAATAATAATAATGATGCAATTTCTTTCTCAGAGCCGATCATCTGATCGGTGTTCAGCTCATCTCGACTCTCATGTAATATAAACAGCGAATGTGAGTATTCAAGAAAATAATTGTTATGGGACTCCCCCTTCCAGTTATATATTTGCCAATCGGCGCCCATCAGTTTGTCAGCGTGTGTTAATTGTCCAAGCAAAAACAAAAAAAAGGCATTTAAATAGAATTCATAATGCTAGAAAAACCGCGGGAGGCATTTCCATATAAATTAATCATTGAATTGAATTGACTCTAGGAATTTAGCTGCATGGCTAATTATCTGCTATAACTGTTGTTGTAAAGTATCCGATATGCTCAACTGATAGGCGTGTCAAGCACTACTACATACTTACATATATAGAGAAGATTAATGGCCAGAGAAATAATCACAGAACAGGCGATTCATTCAATTACATGAAAAGCTTAAATGAAAAGTTTGCAAATGCTTAAAGGTTAGACAGAATCATAATCATTCATATATTAATATAATAAAATAAAATAAATGCACAGCTATATAAAATAATGAGGTGTAATATGATTTGATATGATATGACTGATATGATCAGTTTGGAGTGCCTAGCTGTTATGGTTCAAAAGTTCTCGGGGTTCATACAGTCGAACATGGCTTCGGGTAAAGGGTATACAAATAACAATGGGTGTGGAAGGTGATACAAATTGAATTTATATCCTTCAAAACAAATATTGCACCCTCCATTTGATGGATTATTGAATTATAAATTGTAGAAGGCACCCTTTAAAAAACAAAAAGATAAAAAGTCGGTAGACAACTGAGAAATGTCAGCACGTACGACACGCCTGTTGCACTTTGTCCGACCCCTTCAGCCCTTTCGCACGAAATTCGTGCTCTATTTGTATTGTATTATTATTGCGGATTATTGCAGTCTGTGTAAGGCGACTATGCTTGTGTATTTGGACGTCTCATTTCTTATCGTTCACTTAACTGTTGAGTCATTCACGCATACATATGCATGCACAGATGTGTGATAGAGCGAATGATTATACATCTGTATGTATGTATGTACATGTATGTATGTGGTGGGTGAGAACACACTTTGTTTGGATCTTTTCGAGTGTCACATTTAAACCAATTAAGTGCGCGCCACATGTCGTATGCGTAATGTGGCGCCTAAAACTAAACGAGGCCTGCTGTGATGATGGGTTGGTTAACAAAAAGCAACAACAACTAAAACAACAACAAAAACTGGCTTAACTTTTTGCCTGACTTGGCGCTAAGAAACTGACTGTCTCACGAGCTGTCGCCTTGTTGGTATTTGCTCAACAGATGGCATTAAATATTTTCTCACTTATAGTATGTATGTGTGTGTGTGTGTGTTACTTTTTGTTTCTTGTTCCAAGTCAACATTTAACAACCTTGAATTTTCGCCACTGACACTGAACTCGCCCCGCACGCGCCTTGAAATTCAAATTCAATTTGAAATCAATTCCAATACGATTTGTTGCCTTTTTTTCCATACAAATATCAATTCTGTCTGTATATACCCGCGGTATGTATAGTATATATATTTTTGATTATGTATCTGCACAAATGGCAAAAAATCGAAGACAAAAATGTGAGAGGAAAAGAGCGCTTGAAACAAAAGCTAAAAGGCATATTTTAATTGAACGTTTTTTGATTTCTTTAGCATTTTCATTGAGATTTGCCTTTTTATTCGCTTTTTTCTGTTTGCTCTGATTTGCTGATTTGACGTTTTCGATGATTTTTAAATTTTCTTTCTGTTTGGACGCGACAGGAAATGCTTCGCATTTTAAAGCCACTGTAATGCGATCTTTGTTTAATAGTCCGTGCTCCAAACACACACATGCATACAAAGCTCCCCTTCAGCACGACTGATGGTGAGTGACCGCTTTGGTAACGCCTAGTGGATAGAAGCCAGGGTAGTCTTTAGTGAAGACTAGTTAGAAAAACACCTTCCCTGGTCTTTAATACCCGTAAAATTTATTGGTTGTTCGATTTGTTTATTTGTCAAATAGGTTGTAACAAAGGGCGAAAGAAAGACTGCTGGTGTTCAACGTTGAAGCCTTAAGAACTTTTATGATGCTTTCATTAAATTATACAATTTTAAAATTTCTTTATATTCCTTAATTTCCTTAAATGAAGAATACTTATAATAGCCATAATAATTATATAAATGAACCAAACACATGATTTAAACAAATTAATAAACTGAAATTGTTACGAATTAATATTCAATTGTTCAATATATGTATTAAAACCCATAACTACCATGGGCTTAGTGCAGCCGCTAGTCGGTGATTAGTAAATTCTCTGGCACGCGAGGTGAGGCAAAGTTTGAAGTTAGAACTAGAGCGCTGTACTGAAGGGTCATTGTGTTTATAGTATGTTTAAGAGCTGCCTTTGATTGTGTGTGTGTGGCTGTGTGTGTCGCTTTTTAGGGTTCACATTACACGCCTCGTAGCAGCGACTCAGACGCGGACTCTTGACTCTCGACTCTCGATTTCAAATGTAGCTCAGATTTATACGCCAGGCAATACGTTTATTTCTTCTGTAAAATTTTCTTCTCTTCTTTTAATTGGCTCTAGACGCATAAATTATAAAATTGTGACAGCAACGGCAACAAATTTTATATGAAAATATATGGATTACAGCTCTCTTTTCTTCGTCCGCAGCTATTACAAGGGATTACAAATTCTTCACAGTTGGTTTAAGCTCTTAGAGAGGTTTTTAGAATTGTAGAACCGTAGATCATGTATAGCTACAGAATGCAGCGTGAGTCATTATTTGGGACATGATTCATGTAAACATTTTCGTGTTTTTCATGATTCAACAAATTTAAATAAAAATTCGAGTATTTTCAAAAGTATTTCGAATTATAGAAATATGCTTTATGGAACTTTTCAGTGCAAATCGCTGAAACAAAAAACATTTCGAAATGTCTTAACTTTTTACATAAGTGTGCTTTATCGCCTCAATTCGAGTATTTTTGATTTATTCAAATCAAAGCACATTTTATGAGTGGCTATAAACTTTAATGACCGACCAATTCCTATCACAATAGCCTTGATTAGCTAACAGATTTTATTTCTTTTCGTTTGTAAGAGAGCACAATTTTGTTTCTTCACAACTTAATCGCAACAAATCAATCACCAGCGCCTTGAGTTTCTATTTATGACAGTTTCTCTATTCTACTAATAGAGACAACTTAGTATGATTCGCCAATTCAGACAATATCTGAGAGAATATTATTCGACTACAGTACATATAAATATGTTAGTTGCTCTCTAGCTTGCTAATCGTTTGTTAGTCGTCAATACTTTTTATATATTTTATTAAACATTTAAGCAGTACTCCTTTTTTATAATCATATCTTGGTGTTAAAGGTTAAGCTACATTTGTTTACTTTTGGAAAGTTTTTACTAAATCATTTTCCCCCATTTTAGAGTTGAATGTCCCAAAAGCCGAACTAAGTAACATTTAGTCGAAATTCGCTTTTACTGTTACTTTTTGATAGGCTGATTTCACTGTAGTTTCATGAAAGATCTCAAAGATTTCAGCTCCTCGATCAATTTTCGGCATAATTTGGGGCGCTATGATTCAGCAAGTTCTGATACAGACATGATCGTAATATTATACATATATACACGTGCATACATTATAATAATTTTAATGCTTAATAAACTTTGATACGAACCTTATATATTTTGGTACTCTCCGCACATATACACACATACAAATAAGTATATAGTAGGTGTGGGGCCAAAAATTTGTTTAAATTATTCACGTTGTAAAATTTGTCGTCGTTCTATATGAGGAAATTCTGGACTTCCGCGTAGGTTCTTGCAGAAATGAATAATTGGTGTTGTTGTTCTTTATTTAATTTAACTTTGTTGTTCTTTTGGTTTCGGTTTTGTATAAATGTTTACTTAAACATTTTCATGTTCCTCAAGTTTGGTTGTGTTTATAAATTAATTGTAATTGTATTGTTGTACTATAAACAAAATGCTGGATTTTTAATTATTATGCAAAGGCACATTCAACACATTTAACATCGAGTCTCATTGTTGTTGTTGTTGTTGGTCACGCTTAATGAAGTGCACAGAAATGTTGTGGCTGTTGTTGTTGTTGTAGGTTGTTTTTCAAATTGGGTCACACATGCGGCGATTAAAACAAAAACTTATTTATAATGTGGCGCGGCGCTTGCTAGCCTTTAAAAACATACATACACATACACTCTAATATATGTATATAAATATATGTACATGTGTATGTGTGTATGTATATCAAAAACTTTGTATAACTTTTGATAATAGTGGCATAAATTTTATTTATTTGCGGACAAGCAGCAGCAAATCTTATCAGCGCACAAAAAACTTTTAACAATTCTTGTTAATAATGTGTGTATTGCTTGCTCGCTAGCTTTCTTGCTTTTATTTATGTACGTATGTATGTATGTATTTATGTGTGTGTTTGTACATACATTTGTATATTTAATTATTTGGCACTGACGTAAGAGTTGTGATTGTGAATTATTTATAGCATTTGTTTTTTGTTAAAAAAAACACTTGCAATATTTTTCCTCTATTCCTGATGTTGTTGTTGTTTTTAAATTTAAGTTATGGCAAAAATTTACAGCAACAATTTTTTGAATTTTATTTGTCGTCGTGTTTTTGTATTTGTTATTATTGTTTGCTGTCAATTTTGCGTTGAGCAGTCGGCGGCAAAGGCGGCGACCAAACGAGCGACGAACTAACCAGCTGAGCGCGTTATGAACAACTGATCGAAACGAAGTCGAAATCAAGCGAACGAATGAACGAACGAACGAAACAACAGCAGGCAGGGGCGTGCGCGGGCGTCGACGTCAGCGGCGGCGTCGCTTGACGTTCGTTTGCTGCTTCTAATAAGAATTTCTTATAGTTAAATTCCTACGCATACAGACACACACGCACATGCACACAACTTGTGTGCTCGCTTGATTTTGTTTTTGTTTTTTCTGTATTTGCTGCTTCTTTGCTTGTCTGTTCCTCTGTCTGTCTGTTAGTTTTAGTTTATTTATTTATGCAAATCTGCTGTTTGAGCTTTATACGCATACAATTATTATAACATGCGCCGTCGTTTGTTTTATGAGTGATTTTGTTGTTATTTTGTTTGCCGTTCGTTCTCAATTTGTTGTTGCTGTCAAAAACTAGTTCGTGGTTTGTTTAAACAAATGCTGAAACCGAATTACATATATAAATGAATTATCATAGTCGTCATAGTTATGAGTTTGGATCCCTCTATTTCAACAAGATATAAAAACATATGGCGTTAAAGCAAAGTTTTGTGTTTGATTTTAACGCGATTTGCTAGCGTTTTGGAACCCGAATAAGTTTATTTGAAATAAAATTTAGAATCGTTCGTGTTTTGTGTAATTAAATAAATACATTTTGTTAATTTAATTATGCAGTACTATTTTTTGCACACGCGTCACCCAGCATTTTAGGTGTTGTTGTTGTCGCCTATCTGCGCTTTACTATGAATTATAATTATTTCTCTGTTTTATTTTGATTATCGCACCCTGCGCTCACTTTATTTGTTTTCTTTCTTTTTTTGTTATTGTTTTCTGTAATTTCAACTTTCTCACTAACACTAATAAAACAACAACAGCCCACCTAAAAAGTTTAGCGTGCCGCTCTTTTTTGTTCGTTTCGTCTGCGCTCGTCAAATGTTCTTGACCGATTGATAAAAAGTTTCCAAAGCTTAGCGACAAAAACAGTGAGCTTTCTGTTTTTGGGCCGCTCAGCGATTTGTTTTGATTTGTATTAGAGATGGGATGGGCCGGCTTATTGCGGCCCGACACGACCCGGCCGGAAGGTGGAAATGCAGGCGTACAGTTTTTCCAACTCAGAATTTATGGAAAGAAAATGCTGTAAGCTCGTATCATCAACCGAAAATTTAAATTATTTGAATTCTTTATGCGAGTATATCATAGAATTCTCTTTAAAAGTTAATTATACAAGTATTTGAGTAACATATACAAATTTTAGTTGCATGGCTATAATTTCAAATTTTTCAGAAACATTTTATATTATTTATTATGATGAAAATAGGGGCTATAACAAATTTTAAGCAATTTTACTTTCAAAGAAAGTAATAAATGGAGGAACAGTTCTTAATGAGAATGTCGATATGTGTATGTAAAACACGATGAACACGCGAGCCAGCGAACCAAAACACGGTCCACAGCCCAACTCTAATTTGTACAGCTGTGCAGCCGCAAAGCTTCGAGAGAGCGAGATAGAGGGAGAGAATAGGCATGCGCGTTGGCGCTCACCCACACAAAAGCAATATTTGAAGAGTGGGGCAAACAAAGCGCTTCATATTATTCGTTGCGTTGTTTTTATTTTTATTATGATTTTGTTGTGCTTGTGCGCTTGTCTGTTGCTTCTTTCACTTCCACTTTTCCATTTCAGTTTTTGAAAACCGGCGATTGGGGATCAAGGGGGGGGGGGGGCACTTTGTACAGGCGCTGCGAGTACAGTCTCTGCCAGCGTTTGCTATTGTTGTTGTGCTTGTTGTTTTTGTTTTTACTTTTACATATGTACATACATATACAGATGTACATGCATGTATGTGTGTTTGCGTATTTACTCTATAAAAACTCTTTGCTTTGTTTACTTTGTTTTTTATACCACCCCAATCATTTATTGATGTGCTTTTCTGATTATTATTAAAAATAAAACATCTACATACATACAAACAATAGTTGCGCGACCTCTCTCTCTTTGCTCTCTTATTAACTCTCTTACACTCTATTTTAACGTTTTTTGACGTCACTTTTGTTGTTTACTTCGGCAGCTTGTTTTTATTTGGTTGCCCATTTCGCATTTTTTGTATTTTATGCAAATTTCTTTATTCATACAAACACCTACATATTTATAGTATGTGTGTGTGAATATATATTGTTATGAAATTGTCTGGCGCTTTGATTTCGTTCATCAGTGCAAAAATAAACTTGTTTACAGCATTGAAACATCGATGTTTTATGGCTAGGAAATGCAAATCACATTAAAGATGCAGCAGCCGCCATCTCTCCCAGACCTCCCACGCCACCAGCACTCCGCACTCGCCACACGATGCGTTTACTGTTGTTCTCTTTGCTGACGCTGCTTTTTTATTAGTTTGTTTATGTTGAACAACAACAACAGAAAACTGCTCACTCACACAGAAACAACAACAGCGCAATGACAACAACAAAAATGATAATCCTACGATTTGTATATCAGCTCGAATTGAATATCGTTGGCATATTTTAATGATTCGTTCTAGTTGTGGCCGCACAAATATTGAGTGCTGTTTGCTGATGCAATATCTCATTCAAATTGTGTAATGCACTCACAATGGGCACAACGCATTCGGATTTAAAATACGAGTGCATGCCGAACGAATTGCAAATGAGAAATTCATTAATGAGTGCGTGAATGTGAATTCATTGAGATGTTTCAGATTAAAATCTAGAAAGCTTTGCTGGTAGACTAAGAAATAGAATGAAATTTAGCATAAATATTGAGTAAACAAATACTAGCAGTTAGTAGTGAATTCTAGTCCAAATTTTAGACATATCACTATAATAGTGCAAAACATTTCAACATCGTAAAGTTGTTTAAAATAAAACTCAACTGCAGATACTTTTACATTTCGACTTAAATTTAAAAGTAATCAAGATCTAAAACTCAATAAGTGGTAGTTTTCTATGAAGACCTGGTTGAAACAACAACAATTGGATAGCCTCTTGGATTTTCTTTAAGAACGCACAGTTCATTCAAAGTGGTTTTTCAAATGCTACCAGAATTAAGGGAAAACTTAATGGCACACGTTGTGCAATATTTTAAATAAATATCGCAATAGATCCTCATTATAAAAAGAACGACACACCTAATAGAATGAACAATACTTCTAAGCAAAACCAAATTCTGATTGTGAGATTTCATTGAATAATCAAAAATGCAAATTTATTTTTAAACAAAAATTTCGAGTTGATAACACCAATATGCGATGTTCATAATAAGTATGTATGTTTTTACGTTTTTTGATAGTGCAGGAAATATATTTATTATATGTTATTAGTTTTAGCGAGGAATTAGAGAGATGGAGAACCGTGGAACTACTCGTAGTGCTTGATATTCATGTACCTACCATATTATTGGATTTATATAAATATCATGTCTCTTGCTAGGAGCTATGAATCAAGATCAAAGATCTTTCTCCACTCTGCTAAATTATGCCTCAATTCAGACCACGCAGTGACCAAAGAGTTATATAATAGTGGTTAGCAAGTGAACAAATCTCATTAATGTATAGCTAGGTACTAAGATAAGATAATATTTGTACAGTAGCAAATATATCAGTTTGTTCGCAAGGAACCTGTTTTTGTTGACAACAAATTCAGTCCCACAAAAGAAGAAATTTTGACCATATGTAGAGAATAATATTCCTATTTACTCATAATACAAAAATGGATTCACCTCTTTTTTCTGGCGAGATCCCACAAAATTGGTTCGATTTCCTTCATCTACTGTGTCCAATAGAACAAAAGTTTTTGCTGAATTAGTGGGCGGGGACTCCCGTTGTCCTTTCTCAGCATAGAACTAGATAACTATCTTTACGAAACCTATTGTGTGTAAGCAGATTAAAGCTGCCAGCGATAATTATTTATCTTATTATTATCTCTTAAATTAGAATTTACGGCGATAAAGAATAATCACCTTGTGAAGAAAGTCAACAACAATCTATCTAACGGATGAAAATTACGAAACAAATTGTAATTTTATTTCTTTCAGCCATAAGCTGCTCCTCAGACTTTTTATTAACAATCAAATACAAGTATTCAATCTTCTTTTTCTATGGCGAGCTAAACTCTAAGCTCCAAATCACTTATTAATATGTTTAAAGAGTCCAATAGCATAGAAACAAAATGAATCCAAGTACTTGAAACCACTTATGGAATTGCCGCTGAACAGCTTCAAATTGTCCCCAAAAGCACTCGAAAGTAATTTGCCGAATAATATTAAGCTGCATATATTTTAAGAATATACATATATGAAACAAGTTGACGCATGGAAAATTTCTATGAGTAGCATTTACTACACACTTAAATGTATGTACATATAGTATATTTGTATATGGATGTTGTGGCCCGAAGCCGCAGAAAATCAAGACATGTCCTTGAAACGCAAATTGCGACACAGCAGAGTAGAAAATAAAAACATGTTGTGGTAAGACCA